TACTGGTCACTATATACACCACTGGCCCCAGACGCCTGCAGGTATCCAAACTTAGTCAGATGTGGTGGATAAGCACAGCTGATGCACAGGGTGCTGCAGCCCAAGGCCAGCTCAAAGAGTGGGGGGATGGTGGAATTCCACCCTGGGAGAGATGAGGGCCTGAGGCCTGACAGCTGGGGGGGGTGCATTTAAAGAGACCAGTGAGTGGTCAGTGGTACAGCTAGCCCTGTAACTGTGATGGGATCACATTAGTAAATTTTTCAGCAATTTGCTCACACACATAAAGGCACCAGAGCTGCAAAATCCACCCCCATGGTCCTCCTGAGCTGAGGAAACTAGGAATGTACCTTTTTCTTTGATAATGTAAGTTCCTAGTTCTTTTTCTGCACAGAGCCTTGAAAATGTAAACCTATGTATGCCTGCCACGAGAGCTCGCAGTTTTGGGCACCTGAGAGTTAATGTTCACAGTCTAAAGCTTTTCTTTGCAACCAGGAGGACTAGAAGCTTACTTTGTCAGAATCTCAGTTTTCATTTAAAAGAAAATCATTTGGCTCCAGGAAGTGGGCCTTTAAGAAAAACACCAGCTATATCTCAACTTACAATTAAATCATGAGAGTTGGCAATGCTGACTCTTGCAATAGGAGGCGGAGCTACACACCCACACTTTTCATGCAAAATGAGTCAGTTAAGTTTGAGACACAGGCCAATGAATTGTCTCCCTGACCTGCCTTGAAATCTGAACGATCAGGATGGACAGGAGTCATTTAGGTTTTGAGGTGAACAGAGAGTTGAGCCATTGGTTCACAGGCTCACCTCAAAATGCTCTGACTGTATATTATGGGACTGGGAGATGTCTTTTCATAGAGGAGGGTGGACGCTAAACAGGTCCTCCCTCCAAACACTTTCATCCTCCATCCAGTAAGTGCAGCTAAGCACAAGCTATTACTACTTGGACAAGGTTTGCAGAGATGGAAAGAATATACTTGACACCTGAGTGCAAGGAAGACACTTTGTAACTGCTTGTAATGAGGAATTTGGCAAGGTCTAGAGGTCAGGTGAAAGCTTTAGGGGAGAGGTTTGCTGGTGAGGATTTACATCTAGTGCAGGCAAGGCCGCCCAGAGGATTCAGGGGGCCTGGGGCAAAGCGGGGGAGCTTGTACTCACCGGGCAGCACTCTGAGTCTGCGGCAGCGGCGTTTTGGCGGGCGGGGGGGGGGGCCGTTCAGTCGCTCCGCATCTTCGGTACAGAAGACCCACCGCCGAAATGCCGCCGAAGACCCAGAGCGCCACCGGGTAAGTAAAAAGGCGCCTCTAGCCAGGAAAGGGATTCTCGGCCAGAGCTTGTGGGGCCCCTGCGAGGCCTGGGGCAAATTGCCCCACTTGCGCCCTCTCCCTCCCCCCCCGGGCAGCCCTGAGTGCAGGTTCCTACGACATGGACAAGTGAACACCAAGAGCTGTAATGAATGATGCCAGAGGCATTATCTCTAATCTCAGACACTGAAGCTTGTCAGATCATGCTTCCAAGGCAGGACTCATGGAAAATTTTATTTTTCAAAATACACAAAATCTTATTTTTCAAATACACAAAATCTCCACCATTAAAATCTCTGAAACTCAAAGCATGAAGAAGCAGCCCTCAAGCATAAACACAGCCAACTTGTGAGCACACTATGAACATACTATCAAGCAATGGTTTTCAGTTGTCAATTACTTCCATCCCTATGTGCAGCCGTGGACGGACAGGCCCTTGTTCCAGAAGTGGATCCACTGGGCAAAATTTTGGCTCCTGGAACAAACGGCCCATTTTACACTTTTTGGCTCCTGTGTATAAACTTGCTTTCTCCAGTGCAAAATGTTGCCTTTGTCCTGGAAATTCTGTGCCAAGATGGGTGTTGGCCAAGCAGTTCTTTACGTATTTAAAGCAGTGAACAAACTCCTTGTTCAAGCCCACACATCGCAGACCCAATAGTTAGAAACAAGACTGCACTGCAGTCACATGGACGCAGATACGTGACTTGTTTAAAATACAAAAACAACTGGAAGGACCCTATAGAAAGAAGCATCACTTAGGTAACAGAGACAGACCAGTCAGGATACCCTCAGGTACCTCTTGACAATAGGATTTTAAACACAAACACTTTCAATATCAAATTTTCAAGGACTGGGGCAAAGCTAGATCTGCGGGTTTGGAGGATGGTATTCAAAATCCCATGGTTTGTTGGCTGGACAGCCTTAGTCTATCCCACTTGGTGTAACAAAGACAAACACAACAGGAGCGTGGGATATAACTGGGCATCCCAATTCCCAGTAAAGAACCACGTTCCAATCTCTCCATACGTTGCAAAATCCTAGAGATGCCACCAGCTGACAGGACATAAACTGAATATATGTACAGTGCTCCTTCCTAGCAAGGCTGGTCTTGGGCATCGCAGTGTCAAAACGACCTCCCAAAGGCATCTGGTTTTTAAGGAGGGAGTTAGTTGGCTAATTGAGTCGAGCACTAGAATGGAGTGTGCAGTCTTACAGGGAGGGAGCTCTGTATTTCCAGCCTAGAGTCATAAAGGTGCTTAGGTGGCTAAGGGGGGGGTAGGTGCCTATATCCCAGTTTTAGGCTCCATTGCGATTCACAAAACTCCCACTGAACTAACTCTGCAAGTGCCTATTCATTCAGTGCCTAAGTTTTGCAGTAAAAAGTTCCCTTGGTGCCTGTGTTTGTGCCTCAAGGCATATGCACTGCTGCCTCCTTCTAGGTGCCCAGGCACCAACCTACTGCCTAACCCTCCGAGTGATTCACAAACCAAGGCAGACCGGCATTCGCCCACCTAACTCACATGTGGGGCCCAATCCGATCAGCATCACAACACATAAGTATCTTTGTGAATCTGCACCTCCCTCCATTCTGGAAGTAGCAGCAAAAAAATGTGAGCAAAAGCGAAAGCTGTACACACCTTTCTGACAATCTTTTACCCTTTGGATAGTGTAAACATAAAGACCTGCAGTCTTAACCATGTAATTAGCTGGCAACCTGAAGAAAAATGCCAGGGTTGGGGCGAAAAGGTATCAAGGTAAAAAGATCTTTCTTCAGCTTGAATTTTGAAATCCCCTGTCCCCCCGGTGAGCCAGGTTTGCACTAGCTGACTGCAGGCCGCTGCTCAGCTGCTGTTCCTTCCCGAGACTCCTTCCCAAAGTAGGCAACTGCAAGAGGCAAGGCTTTCGGCATACTGCTCTGTGGGAGCCTTGGCTGTCAGGTTGTAGTCGTGCAATGGGATGCAGGGCTCACTTAGCACAAGATGCATTTAAGTACCTGCTACCAACAACTGGGCAGGTGAGAGCCATAACGGGTTTTACCTTTTGCCTCCGAAGCAAAACTATCTTTGGGAAAATGAGAAGAATTTACTTTTTTTATATGCTCTGAATAAAAGGACCTTCTAATGAAGAAAGCACATGCAATGCCTTGGTTACCCTCTACCTCCTGAAAGCCATCCTCAGCAGAGTACATTACTCTCTGTACTACCGATGTGAGAAATATTAGGGGTAGGAAAAAGCTGCCTGGCCCCAACTAGTTATTTTGCTAGAACACTAGCTTCTGCTCCCCAGACACAAAACTAGGGGTCTCCTGACTGCAGTGAACTATTTGGTTCAGCTGCCTTCTCTTCTGATTTGTTCTGTGTGTGTCTTACTTTCACTTCAATAAATCTGTCAAAGTTTCTTATTTTCCCCACCTCTACGTTGCAGCCTCACAGCACTGGGCAGAGGGTGTGAAGGCTCATGAATTAAGAACTGTTAACCACTTTCAGAGTCTGGAATGAAAGGTGCTAGCAAATTACTAGGTCCCTAATTAATAGGTTTGGACACCAACACCCAAATGAAAATGAAATCTCTGCTGACTCTGGGAATAGAATGCAGCTATTCAGCAGAGCGAGTAAGCCCTGGAACAGATTGCCATGGAGGTGGCAAGTTCTCTAGCACTTGAAGGACTAGCAGCATTTGAATACCACTAACCTGAATCTGTTTTACGGAGTGGACTTGTTAGCAAGTTAGACTCACTCGGATTTTAGTCTATACCTCTTCTGGGGCAGTCAATGCAAGTTAAAAACACCACTGCTCTTCAGGGAAGGGTACGGGGGTGGACAGGATTCAAGTAAGGAGCAACACTCAGATTATAACTTGAGTTGATTTTGCAATGAAGACAAGTCCTTGAAGTCTCTAAATCAGGACTGGGCAGAATCTGCTCTAGCTGAGCCACGGATTATGGGCTTGATGCAGGAATCACCTGGTGATTCTCTGGTCTGTGCTTATGCAGGAAGTCAGATTATTTTAACATAATGGTCTCTTGAGGCCCTGAAATTCATGCAATGTAGGGTTGTTGTAAATCTCTACTAAGATCATTTCAGCAGCAGGATAAACCTGACTGCCTAAACTAGGGTTACCATACGTCCGGTTTTTCCCAGACATGTCCGGCTTTTCGGCAATCAAACCCCCGTCCGGGGGGAATTGCCAAAAAGCCGAACATGTCCGGGAAAAATACGGACGGGCACTTTCTCTCCCGCGGCTGCTCTGCTCCTCCCCTGACTCAGTCTTCGGCTCTGTTTAAGAGCCAAGGTGCCCGAGCCAGTGCTACCGGCTTTGGGCAGCCCCTTGCCTCCGGACCCTGCGCCGCCGGAGCAGAGCAGCTGGAGCCGGGGAGGAGAAATGCCCGGCCGGCGGCTGGGGGCCGGAGGCAAGGGGGCTGCCCGAAGCCGGTAGCGCTTGGGCAGCCCTTTTCGCGTGGCTGGGGGGGGGGGGGGGGGGG